GGGTCAGTCTTGACTTTCGATGCTATGTCATTTTCGTATTGCCGCTGAGCCTCCCTTCTTATCTCTGCATATTCGTTTCTGGCTCTTCGGCTAATCTCTTTATTTTCCTGAGTTCTCTGTCTTCTGTACCTTTTCCATTCTCTAGTACACCTAGTTTTTGCCTCCCTACACCTTTGGGTGAACCAAGGACTCGTTCTGTTCTTCCCATTATTTCTGTTTCCCTTGGGAACAAACCTCTCCTCTGCCTCCTTGCATTTTGTTGCCACATAGTCCATCATTTCTTGTACTGGTTTTCCTGTCAGTTCCCTCTCCCACTGAATGTCTTGAAAGAAGTGTGTGTGGTGTGTGTTGTGTGTGTGTGTGTGTGTGTGTGTGTGTGTGTGTGTGTGTGTGTGTTGTGTGTGTGTGTGTGTGTGTGTTGTGTGTGTGTGTGATGTTGGTTGTGTGTGTTGTGTGTATGTGTATGTGTGTGTGTGTGTGTTGTGTATGTGTGTGTGTGTGTGTATGTGTGTGTGTGTGTGTGTGTGTGTGTGTGTGTGTGTGTGATGTGTGTGTTGTGTATGTGTGTGTGTGTTGTGTGTGTGTGTGTGTGTGTATGTGTATGTGTATTGTTATGTGTAGTGTTGTGTGTTGTGTGGTGTGTGTGTGTTGTGTGTGTGTGTATGTGTGTGTGTGTATGTGTGTGTGTGTGGTTGTGTTGTGTTGTGTGTGTGTGTGTGTGTGTGTGTGTGTGTGTGTGTGTGTGTTGTGTGTGTGTGTATTCACCTAGTTGTGGTTTGCAGGGGTGTCACGGCTCCTGGCCCCTTCACCTGCGTGCTAGATCACTCTTCCTGCTCCATGCTTTATCATACCTTTCTGTAAGTATGTAGGGTCCTGGCTCCACGGCTCCTCCGACCTTCCTTCACCTGACACTCTTGCTGAGGATACTTCCTACATCCTGGATTCATCTGAGTCTTCACTTCCAATAGCCCTTGTGTTGACTGCTCCACTCTGAACAGTCTTCCGCTGTTCCACTGTCGATCACTCAGTATGAAGTCATTATCTTCCCTACCCCATTCCTGTGTCATTGTCGTCAGGTCGATTTCACTTCCATTCGTAGACTACCTTTGCTCTGTGTCATCTCTGGAACTATCCTGTCTCTGTCCCTTGCGTTCTTCTCAGTATTCAAATGTTAACATTACCCCCCCCTAATCTTCCTGTCGTCCCATTGTCGTCAGGAATGTTCCTTAACCTTCTCTAGGACATACCTCTTAGCTCTGGAACTAGTCTTGTTGCAAACCTTTGCACTTTCTCTAGTTTCCTTACGTGCTTGGCTAGGTGTAGGTTCCAAACTGTTGACACATACTCCAACATGGGCCTAACGTACACGGTGTACAGGATCCTGAACGATTCCTTATTAAGATGTCGGAATGCTGTTCTGAGGTTTGCTAGGCGCCCATATGCTGCAACAGTTATACGGTTGGTGTGCGCCTCAGGAGATGTGCCTGGTGTTATACTCACCCCAAAAATAATTTTTCTTGAGTGAGGTTTGCAGTCTCTGGCCCCCCTAGATTGTACTCCGTCTGCGGTCTTCTTTACCCTTCCCCAATCTTCATGACTTTGCACTTGGTGGGGTTGAACTCCAGGACCCAGTTGCTGGACCAGGCCTCCAGTCTGTCCAGATCCCTTTGTAGTTCTGCCTGGTCCTCGTCCGATTGGATTCTTCGCATCAACTTCACATCATCTGCAAACAATGACACTTCGGAGTCTATTCCTTCCGTCACGTCGTTCATACATACTAGAAACAGCACCGAGTCATAGGACTGACCCCTGTGGAACCGCTCTCGTTACAGGCGCCCACTCTGACACCTCGTCACGTACCATTACTCGCTGTTGTCTTCCTGACAGGTATTTTCTGATCCACTGCAGTGCCTTCCCTGTTATCCCTGCCTGGTCCTCCAGCTTTTGCACTAATCTCTTGTAAGGAACTGTGTCAAACGCCTTCTTACAGTCCAAGAAAATGCAATCTACCCACCCCTGTCTCTTTTGTCTTACTGCTGTCACCATGTCATAGAACTCCAGTAGGTTTGTGACACAGGATTTCCTGTCCCTGAAACCGTGCTGACTGTCGTTGATAAGCTCACTTCTTTCTAGGTGCTCCACCACTCGTCTCCTGATAATCTTTTCTATGACCTTGGATACTATACATGTCAGTGACACTGGTCTGTAGTTTAATGCTTCGTGTCTGTCTCAATTTTTAAAGATTGGGACTTCATTTGCTGTCTTCCATACCTCAGGTAGTCTCCCTGTTTCGACAGTGCGTGTTGAAGATTGTTGTTAGTGATATACATAGCACCTCTGCTCCCTCTCTCAGGATCCATGGAGAGATGTTGTCTGGTCCCATTGCCTTTGAGGTATCTAGCTCACATAGCAACCTCTTCACTTCTTCCTATGTATTGTGTCCAGCACTTGATGGTGTACCCCACCTCTCTATCTTTCTGGAGTCCCTTCTGTCTTCTCTGTGAACACTTCTTTGGATCTCATGCTGAGTTCCTCACATACTTCATGGTTGTTTCTTGCGATCTCTCCTCCTTCCTTCCTTAGCCTGATTACCTGGTCCTTGACTGTTGTTTTCCTCCTGATGTGACTGTACAACAGCTTCGGGTCAGATTTGGCTTTCGCTGCTATGTCATTTTCGTATTGTCGTTGGGCCTCTCTTTTTACCTGTGCATTTTCATTTCTGGCTCTATGACTGCTCTCCTTATTCTCCTGGGCACTTTGCCTTCTATACTTCTTCAATTTTCTAGCACACTTGATTTTGGCCTCTCTACACTTTTGGGTGAAACAAGGGCTCATCCTGGCTTTCTCGTTATTCCTGTTACCCTTGGGTACAAACCTCTCCTCAGCTTCCTTGAATATTGTTGTTACATATTCCATCATCTCGTTTAGTGACTTTCCTGCCAGTTCTCTGTCCCACTGAACCCCGTGCAGGAAATTCCTCATGCCTGTGTAGTCCCCTCTTGTAGTTTGGCTTCATTCGTCCTGCCCTTCCTGTGTGTATGTGTGTGTACTCACCTAATTGTGGTTGCAGGGATCGATTCATAGCTCCTGGCCCCGTCAGGAGCTATGAATCGACCAGTGACACTGGTCTATAGTTTAGTGCCTCGTTTCTGTCTCCATTCTTAAAGATGGGGACTACATTAGCTGTCTTCCATACCTCAGGTAGTTGTCCAGTTTCAAGGGATGAGTCTCTGCTCCTTCTCTAAGGACCCATGGAGAGATGTTGTCCGGTCCCACCGCCTTTGAGGTATCAAGTTCACATAGCAGCTTCCTCACCTCCTCCTCGGTTGTGTGTATTTCATCAAACACTTGTTGGTATATCCCTTGTTGGTGTACCCCTCTGTTTTGCCTTCCCAGTGTCCTTTCTGTCTCCACTGTAAATACTTCCTTAAATCTCGTGTTGAGCTCCTCACATACTTCTTGGTCGTTTCTTGTGAGCTCCCCACCTCCTTTCCTCAGCCTGATTATCTGGTCCTTTACCAGGTAATCCTGCTGATGTGGCAATACAACAGTTTTGGGTCAGACTCGAATTTAGATGCTATGTTGTTTTTGTACCGTCGCTGGGCCTCCCTCCTTATCTGTGCATACTCGTTTCTGGCTCTTCGACTAATCTCTTTATTTTCCTGGGTCCTATGCCTTCTGTACTCTTTCCATTCTCTAGTGCACTTAGTTTTTGCCTCCCTACACCTTCGAGTAAACCAACGGCTCATTCTGGTCTTTCTATTATTTCTGTTGCCTTTGGAAACAAACCTTTCCTCTGCCTCCTTGCATTTTGTTGTTACGTAGTCAATTATTTCGCTTACTGACTTTCCTACCAATTCTCTTTCCCACTGAACCCCCTGCAGGAAGTTCATCATACCTGTATAGTCCCCCCTTTTATAGTTTGACTTTTCCCTTTCTACTCCTGTTACCCTCTCCACTTGTAACTCTACTATGCATTCTAAGCTCAGAACCATGTGATCACTAACTCTAAGGGGACTTTCATATGTGATGTCCTCAATGTCTGAGCTACTCAGGATGAACACAAGGTCCAATCCTGCTGGTTCATCTTCCCCTCTCTCTCTGGTAGTGTCCCTAACATGTTGGTGCATGAGGTTTTCCAGTACCACATCTTTCATCTTGGCTCTCCAAGTTACGGGACCCCCATGTGGCTCCAGGTTTTCCCAGTCAATCTCCCTGTGGTTGAAATCGCCCATAACCAATAACTTTGCTCTAATCGAGTGAGCTCTTCTAGCCACCTCAGCTAGTGTGTCCACCATTGTTCTGTTGTTCTCTTCATATTCCTCTCTTGGTCTCCTGCAGTTCTGTGGTGGGTTATACATCACTGCAATGACTACCTTATGTCCCCCAGACTGAATTGCACCTATGTAATCTCTTTCTCCAATCTCGTCCATTCCTCTCATTTCCTGAAATCCCCATCGGCTTTTAATGAGCAGTGCAACCCCTCCTCCCCCTCTGCCCCTTCTATCTTTCCTCAGGATCTGATATCCAGATGGGAAGATTGTGTCTGTTATCATCCCAGTGAGTTTTGTTTCTGTGACTGCTATGATGTCTGGGGATGTCTCCTTGACTCTTTCATGCCACTCCTCACATTTATTCAATATTCCATGTGTGTTCGTGCATGTGTGTGTGTGTGTGTGTGTGCAAGCTTGTCTCATTAATGATCTAAGACCACTTATAGATGTAACAATTCACAACCCACATTGCTTAGCTAACTCCCAGGACATGTAACCTCGCTAGCTGCTAGGACATGATAGGTCACCTAAGTAGCTCTTAGAAGAGTAGTGACCGCATCTATCACTATCATCACCACTACTGTCTTCACTGCTACCACAACTACCTCCACTGCTACCACCACAACTACTACCACTACTACTACCACAACTACCACCACCACAACCACCAACACTACTACCACAACAACTACCACCACTACTACCAGCACTCCTCACTGCCTGCAG